TTAAAAGCTTCCTTTACAAATGGCTTGAAGGACCATGATAAGAGGGCCTGCCATGCTGCCAAGGGTTTCATTGTGGTGGCACCTGAGCAAGCCTGGGAGAAGGTGTTCTCTGCCTCCAAAATTTGCCCATTTAAAATGGTAAAAAGAACATTATGCTTTATTATAAAATGCAACAATAAACCCCTTAGATTTGGCACAGAAACATGTACCACCTCTGCCCTAGGAGATTTCAGCTTAAAAGTGGGCTGGGCTTCTGCCTTGGGGCACAGCACTGCTCTGCTCCCTGTGCTCCTGGGCACTGTCAGTGGGTTTTTCTTGACTGAGCACCTTAAACACAAGAGTTGTTTTGGGGCACTGTTCTGCTGGTGCTGCCTGGGGAGGATGGCCATTCCTCGGGCAGTGAGGGAACGGCATCTTTTGTGGTTTGGGTTGAAAAACTTTCTCCATTGTTTGAAACTCGGGATCCGTGGTACTCTAAATGATTGATTGTCCTTCTTTGATCAAGAAGCTGGGGTGCATTTGAGTGAGAAAGTGGAAGTGCCCCCCTCTTGCTCAGTGTATCTCTGACCAGGCTTAGTGAAATGCAGACAGCAAACAGTGGGGGGAAAAACAAAAATGAAAATAAAAGTCACTGAGGCTGTTTTGAAAATCTTCCAGTAAACTGAGGGAATGTGAGCAGCGTGAGGTCAGTAGTCTGTGCTTGAAAAGGAGGGATCCAATCCTGGTGTCAGTTACAGACCTGTAAATCACAGGCAGTGCTGCTGGCAGTGACAGCAGCTGCTGAAAGGCTGCTCCAGCATGGGACCTGCAGGCTTTCTGGCACAACATGCTGATTCCTCTCGTTCCTTAGCCACCCTTTTTTCTAGCTGTCCTTGGGCATTTAAAATAACATCAGTGCAGCAAAGCTGGTCCTGCTTTTGGGTTAGTTCTTGACCATTGTGACCCAGTGGCTCCAGCTCAGGGTGATTCCTGGCTGCTGGGATGCTGTAGGTAGGGCTTTCTCACAACTTCCTTAGCTGCTGTTTAGATCTCTTCTGCTCTGAATGATCTTTTAATTTCCTATAGTACAGCAATCTCTGGGGCAGCTTGGCATCCCTTCAGTGGAAATTGAGTTCTGTGCTGAAGTGTTCTCTTTCCCCACCTGTTCTCCTAACTCATTTTCCTCTCTTGTTTTAGTCACATTTAACAAACACCAGGACAAACCTGAAAATCAAGTGGGACAGCAAAGGCAAAAATATATATCCTGGTCTCAAAGCTTGCTGGGCACTGCTGGAGGACCTTGGGGCAATGCTTTTAGCACCTGGCTCTGCACCCTGCAGCACACAGGGGCTTCTAGGGAGTTTGCTTATGGGAGCTCTTTTTCCCCACCCAAGCTGATGTTCTGTGCTGTGGTCAGGATCAGCTTTCCTCCAGGATGAGGCTGCACCAGAGCTCGGAAGTGATAAGCCCCATTATTGCTAATTTTGACACACAGGGTTGTAGTGGGGTTGGAAGCAGCTCTGTCCTGAGTGCTATCGAGGAGGGGCGTGTGCTTCCTTACAGACCGAAACCATTCACAGAGTCACTGCTTCTCACCAGCACAGGATCTGACACCCAAAAAGGCAGCAGCCAGGCTGTTTGTGTTGGTGACTCCCTGAGCAGGTGCTGTGCTGGCAGCTGAGCAGGGGAAACGTGTCCCCAGCTTTTGTTGTCTTGTGTGATCCTTTTATTAGATAACTTCAGCAGTGTACTGTTGAATTGAGCAGTTTAATTTTAATCCATGAAACCTGAGAAACACAGATGCTAACAGAGAAAACTGTTAGGGCTAGATCCTGCATGTGTCACTGTCCCAGTGTAGAAAGATGAGTACCTGTCTATGTATGGCTGTATTCAGGTGTAAAGCTACCAATGCATATAACCTGATTTTTAAGTCAGAGTTGAACTCCAAATTGAGATTTGTGTGAAAGGGATCTGATTTTTCCAATATGTGAGAATGTGGAGATCTCAGACAGCTCCCTCAGTGCTTGCAGTGGCCAGAGTGCCTGAGGGTCAGGGCTGTGGCAATGGAGGGAGATAATGTGAGATTTATGAGTTTGGGAACTTTGGCCAGCAAATAACACATATATTGGCACAGAGTAGGAAAGACATAAAAAGACATATGTCAGAACAGGGCAGGCTTTTAAGTGGTTTTCATTTAAAGTGAAAAGGTCAGATTGAATGAGGTTGGCATCTGGGGAACTGTTCGTGCACATGCCAATCAAAGGGGGGGACCCATGTCAGTTCATGCTGATGGGTGACTGGCTGAGAGCTTGTCTGTGTTTTAAAATTGGTGACTGGAACAGTTAAAATGACAATTTTCCTTGTGGCTGTCAGGTTGAACCATCTGCTTCATGAAGGAATGGAACAAAGGATCCCAGCACGAGGCTGCTTTATCCCACTTCTGCTGGTGTTTGCACTTGGGCTTCAGCAAGTACAGCTATGCTGATTTAAAATATAATAATAGTAATAAATAGACTCTAAATATTGGTAACACTTTCAGTGTAAAGGAGATTAAAAGTGAATGCAGCTTTTAAGTAGTCAGAAAACAGATGCCATTCAAACTAGACTGTTCTGGGAGAAGTCTAATGAGCTGAAGTCATTTTCACACGTAGATTTTTCATTTAAAGGGACTGTGGTGTCTGGTTACTTCAATTTCTATGAGGCAACAGTGGAGTTATGTTAGGGTTGCCTGTTTGTCTGAAAGTACTGACTTCTGCTCTTTGAAACTTGGAATTATTGCAGAGGTTTTTTCACTGACCATTCCTGAAAAATCTGAACAATCTAAGAAAACTTAAGCCATAACACAGGACTGATGCTTAAATTCAGGCATTGTAAACTACTGGTTTTAGATTTAAATCTGCAAACAGAAAAAAGTTCTTTCTGTACTTGTGTGTTAGGTTCATATTTATTTTTTTCTTAAGAAACATTGATTCTTACTGTCAGTAGTACAGCATCACTATTGCCAGCCAGCGAGTGAACAAACTGTTCTGATAATTTTGTCTCTAATGGAGTAGTTTGATAGACTGGCTCTGGTGGGTGTTGCTGTGACCAGTCAGGCTGTCCCTGTCCTCTCAGCTGTGGATGTGCTGCCAGGATGGAGTGCCTGAGTGCCTGCCTGGGCACCCATGGGGTGCTGGGCCCCACGTGCTCCTGAGAGGGAGGTTTCACAGCAAGTTTTCAGCTGGGTGCCTCAAGGAGGGTATGTGGTATCCTGCTCACCTTGCTACAGAATTCCTGTCACAGGTGACAGGGACAGCTGATGTGGGAAGCAAAGCCAGGAAGATGCAGTTCAACTGGCCAAATCCTGTCACTGATCTTGTAAACATTTTGTGAGTTAAACCGGGTGAGAGACAATTCTGAACCAAGATTTTTTTACACACAGGTTGGGTCTTACCTGGAGCTCCTGGAGGTGCTGTTGTGAGTTTAACTGAAATAGTGTTGGAATCAGAGGGGAGTGTTGTTGTCTTCTGCCTTTGCAGATAAGACTGAAGGGCATTTTGCCAGGAGTCTGTGGGAAGGACCTAAATTGTATGTGACTCTACATCATTTTAAAATGAAAAGTAAACATGTGCAACCATAATATTTGCTTGTTCTTGTCTCCTCATTGATGGATGGAGAGAAATTGCTCTTTGGCTGAGTTCATCAGCAACAAACCTCTGCAGTTACTCATCTTCATCCCTGCAGTGAGAGGGAGAGACCATTGGAATTTACAGTTGGTTTTGTCCTCATAACACCTTAGGGGAGCTCTGAGGGGCCTGAGGACTGTTAGACCTGCCTATCCCTGTGCTGAAACAGGGCTGGGTGCTAGAACAGGGACCATGGGACTGAGCTGGGTCAGAATGAAACTCAGTGTGCTCTTGTGGTGTTGGCACAGTGGGCATGTGCCTCTGCTTGGGAGAGGCAAAAGCCCTGTCGCTCTCCTGGCTATTGCATGGGGGATAAGGGGTGTTGGAGGGGCAGGGAGCCATTTCATTGTGTGACAGGGAAGAGGGGCTTGGACCATGAGCCACCAACACATTGTTACTCCGTGTTTGTTGTAGATTTGTGGGCTCACCTGCACCATCATGAGCAGCCCAGGTACAACAAACAAGTGTGAACTGAGCTTTTCCATAGTGACAGCAGCAAATAGGAGAAGCTTTCTCTGCTGAGCTGTGATGACAAGCTTGTGCTTGTCATGGGCAAAGATAGGGCTTTAGAGTGACCAGGATGTGGCTGGGATGGGATGCTGGCCAGGGGCTGATTGGGACAGGAAGGAGTGTGTGCATTAGATGCTGCTGATCTCTGTAGGGTGCATCCTGACATGTGTCCTGGCATGTCCCATGCCAAGTGCAGAATGGTGGCCACGTGGCCTGGTTGTCCCCTCTGCTCTGACTTAATCATCTGCAGAAGGGGAAAACACAGCATTGAGCAGGTCACATCAAGAGAAGGTGGTGTCTGCTTCTCAGCTTCAAGAAAGGGTGAGATAGTCCCCACTGGGGATTGTACAGAGCTCCAGAAAAAAAAGGCTGTGCTGAGGGGGAGGGCTGGTGCTGTAGCTCTGCTCATAGTAATGGTAACTCCATGAGCTTCAAAATGCCTTAAATGGCACCTTCTAGCTTGCTCACTGTGCTCAAGACCAGAGATGAGTGATGGTTCACCCTGTACTCTTATTTTATACCTCATTTGGCATCTCCTTATCCCTTTCCTTTCTCAATGGTATTAAGAGCAGTAAAGGAGCGGTGACGTGAGGAGGTGGGAGTTGTTGGCCAGACTCTGGCAGCTGACATTTCTGGTCATTGCTGGTCACTGGCCCAGTTCAGGGTAGTGGGTCATGCTTTTGGAGGTGCTGAAAGTAGTCCAGGAGTATGGACACTTCCACTTGAGAAAGCTGGGAAGGAAAATACTGCATTTCCCAGAAACTGTGTGGGTTAAGCTGCTGGATTTGGAGACAAGCTGTTGGGAAGCCTATCTAGTGTGCATCACTCAAGTCTCTCTCTTTTCAGGGCTGGGAAAGAAACCTGAAGTCGTGAGTCTGGTGGAGCCCTGCGTGTTTCCAAACGCCCTGCTCTGAGTTCATCCCACCAGTAAGGCTGTGCAGCGTGAAAACTGGTATGTAAACACAATTCACAGGCACAAGGGACAAGAATGTCAGGCTTTTCTGACAGTGGCACCTTGTTCCTGACTCTCAAAGTTTGGAGGAAGAGTGGGATCACTGGAAAATACAGGACAAACTGATGGTTCCCTGGGGGTGCTTACACCCAGAGATTTTGGTGGGGAAGGGTTCAGCAGTGAGAGGCTGTGAGTGTCCAGAAGTCATCCCAGGCTGAGGTGCTGAGGCTTTAGACACGCTCTGTGGGGCGATGTGTGGTGTCATAGCTCACACAGAGAGGCAACGTGGGGGTAATGACAAATGCACACACCAGAAATGCATACACACACAGACACAGGCTGTACAAGTGTAGGCACATGGAAACAAAGATGGCAATGCATATATAGTATATACTATACAGTGGCATATGAGAGCTTGGGGGTGTATATACCAAATGTCTGTATATACTATATATGGCGATTAAAGAATGCATATGCATTCATGTTCTCTTTTTTTCTTTCTGTCTCTTCTGTCTTTCTGTGGAGCTGTTGCAAAACTACCAGATTCAACCTCCTGGGGAGCCTTTCTGGCCAAGGTTTTACAAGCCAGCACCTGCTTTGCCTGCCTGACTCTTTCTATATTTATTCCTCTGCACCTGGTTTTTGCCTTTGCCTGTGGAACTGTCACAAACATTTGTGCTGGCTTTTGACTGCACAGGACTTCAGCTTGCAAGTCCTAAATCTGCCTTTGTGCATGGTGGAGGAGCAGGCGTTTTTGTGCATGGCTGTGCCATCTGTGTGTCTGAGCATCCCTGGTCCTTGCTGTCTGCATTATGTGGCCTGTGTCCCTGTGATTCTGCAGCAGTCCCTCTGTTCTCTGCCCCTTCAAGATGTTTTTATGAATCAAATATTCTCAGTCATCCTTCTTACGTAATTTGTAATTTTTCATTTAACTTAGCCACCCCTGACCCAGTGGCTGCTTTAAGGCAAAGGCAAACTCCCCTGGGTTTTGTGTCCCTGTCCCTACCATGTGTGCCACTGCAGGCTGCATTCCTCTCCCATTCTGTAAGCCCTGTGCCTCTCATGCTGACACAGCTAATATTTCTCTGCTGGCAGGGCAGGCAAGGTGGTGGCATTTAACTCTTCAGGAGAACTTTGATCTGTTAATCTTTGGTGGAACCACCAGAGCTGTAAAGGCTGGTATGTGCCTGTGATGGGGTTTTTGCTCTTCCAGATGTTCCCCATTGTTTTTCTCCTGAAAACTTGAGTGAGAGTTTGTAAAACCTGCACAAACCTGACACTTTTTACATTAGTTGTGAGAGTAGCTCCCATTTCTGACCATGGGGTGATCTCCGGGTGACCCTGCTGCTGGCTGGGGCACATAGCCCCTGTGGGAGGTTCTAGTGGGCTTTTGGAAAAATAATTAATCAGCTACCCATGGAGAGCTAGTCCCAACCTGCAATGCACTGAGGTTGTCCTGGTGTAGCATTTAGTGCCACTTGAACTGTTGTCTCTTTAAAGCTGCCTTTGTGACAACCAATGTAATGAACGTATGCTGCTGCTGCCTGGCAAGGTTGATTTTTTTTTTCACAGTGGTAGTGATGGACCAATGAGTTAAATATGGATGTATTCTAAAAGGCAGAGAACTTTTTTACCTTTTAAAGCAATGGTTTAAATGTTTTATGTCACCTGTGGGTGCTAAACTCTTGCTGCCACAGGTCTGGACCACTGTTCAGTTCTTGGAGGTAATTGGAGAGCTTCTGTCTCTGCAGGATTTCAGCTCCTCCTGAAGCCTGTGCCTCAGTGCCAGTGAAAGCCAGATGTACTGTAATGTCGCTTTTTTACAGTTTGTTTTGGCCATACATGGGCAGAGTCAGCTCTGGAATTCCTTCCCTATAAATTCAATAGCATCTTGTGGGTGGTGCCGGGGAATCACTCTGGTCTGGTTGGATCGCCTTGCCTCAGCAGCCTGTTTGCCTTGAAAATGTCCTGCTGTGCACATTCCTGAGAGGCTGCCTGCCCCTGGAGCCATGGCTGCAGCTTCCAGGAGGCTGCTGTCCCATGCTGGCAGGAAGAGTCAGCTCCTGCTGCCTGCAGGTCAGCCTTGGCTGCTGAGGACTGATGCTTGTGGCAGTGCTGGCATGGGGATGTTGCTGTGGTGTGCATACAGGCTCTGCAGGGATAGTTATACCTGCTAAGAAAACTGCCTCTGAAACTTGATTTGTGTGTTTGAGCATTGACACTCAAGTCCCTTTTCCAGGGGTGGGGAGGCTGGGTGCTCCCCACTTCCCACCTGACATGGGATACTGTGCTGTGTGTCCCAGCAGGGATTGATGGGTGCTGCTATCCTGGGGCTCCTTGTATGTGCAGGGATCTTGTCTTGTCCTTCAGTTTGTGCCTTTCTGCAGTGCTGTCTTGTTTTTATGGGTTTTTTTCCATAATACAAGTTCAAATACATGCTCTTTATAAAGCACTAGCTTGATGAGCCAGGTCAGGGAAGATTTCTCTATGCCAGTGAGCAGCCAGTGTGAGATGTGGTGTAACTGATGGCTGAGCCTGCCTTTTCTGGGCCAAGCTGATGTTGCTATAACCACAGCCTGAATCTGCCTATTTGCCTTCAGAGAACACTCTAAAAAGTAGTTCTAGGAGTTTTTCTACTGGTGAGTTGAGGGATGAAAAAGAGGTTTGTTGCAAGGGTTGAGGAGCAACAACTCCTAGAGTTGCTCCCATTGAATCTTCCTGTGCATCCCTAGTAGGGGACAGAGATGTAGTGTCACCCATCATGCCAGGAGCCTCTGAAGCACAGTTGAAGGTGATTTTGTGTGGCCCCATATCCAGGCTCTGTGTAGGTCGGCAAAGGCAGATTGCTCAGCTCATGCTTCAGAGGGGCAAGTCATCCCTGTGCCAAAGCCAGGGAGAGAAGGGTGATTTTTTTTTTTTTTTTGACATCCTTTGGAGTTTTGATCTCCATATTTGGAAATGTTTACCCATTGCTCTGATCTATTGCAAGGGAGGGGAGGTGACTCAGGGTCTGGTGGAAGCAGGATTTGAATTCCTGTAGTTAGGTTTTTTTTTAATCCCCCCCCCTTTCTTGTTTTGGAAGCTTGTTGTGGTCAGTTTTCAGTTCTCTCTTGCTCCTGGACCTTGTTCCAAATTTGATGTGCTCGAGAGGGAAGCACATTAACAAAGGAGCTTGCCTGAATGCTGGTAAGTGCATCATTGCTGTTATAGCAAGCAATTTGGGATTTTTTTTTTTGTTGTTGTTGTTTTTTTTTGTTTAGTCAGATTGCATTGAAGTGTGTGCATTGCTGGTGGAGGCAGGCATGTGGATCAACAGCAAGGGACCCAATGAAACCTATAGGAGAGAGAGCTGGTTTACTGGATTGGTCTCAAAGGCAAAATGTTTCTTCAGGAGTAGGTATAAAGATAATTTAAGCCATCTCCCATTCAGTCACGCTTTTAGTTTCACTTGTTAGTCCAACAAGGTAGCAGAGCACTGTAAAGGAGGTGGTCAGCATGGAAATTCATGTAGTCAGCAAGAAAAATACAGCTTCTGTATGATTTTTCTCTTAAGCAAGAGTGTGTGTTAAAAAGGCTGTATAACACATATATTTCTTTCAGTTGTTAATATTTAACTGTTCTTAGTTGAAGTTTAGCAACTGTAACTGGATAAACTTTG